AATAAATAATTAGGAAAACTTGCTCATTAAGCTGAGAGATGGCGCAGGTACAATCACCGTTCTATCAAAGGTTATACTGGGTTCTTTGACCGAGGTGTGATCGGTGACGCTTCATTTTGTAGCTTATTTTGATTTAAAGATGTTTTCCTTCCAGCTTTTACCAGATCAGGTAATAGTGTATTCACTTATAGTGTATATTTGTTGTGATGCATCAAGAATTGTGCTTTCCTCGTATCAGTTTTGGCGCGCTTTTGTTCGTTTTGGTGAAAACGCAGACTAGACGTCGGATTCGATATGAGATCATGAGAAGTGGAGGCAAACCCGTGTTCAATATCATCAAATAACGGATTAACTGTAGCAACTTCTTCATTCAATCTGCTTCAAGAAAAGTTAGTATGTTTTTATCAGTTTTATATGAAATACAAAATACAGGAACTGTACAGAATTTGCCGGTTTGAGAAGAATTCATACTGAATGGGGCATGGACCATAGAAAATTGCACAATGTTACACCGGTCTGAGAGGTAACCGTCCAACGTGAATGGCTCTTTTAGGATTCGGCCTGGTAGCTTGGTCCGTAGAAATACGACACATTTGATCACCAAACGTGACACCATGTTTTGACCTTGGTTTGGTCTTTTATACCCGCACATGAATACCAAAATTCTTCTCCGTAGAGCACAGAGCGGCACCATTAGCTATAACAAATACATTGATCCTATTATAAATCGTTAATTATAAATCTGTAGAATATCACAGCCGTTGAGAGAACTAGGATTAGAGATTTTTGCACTGGCTGAGGTGGGCCCTTCGAAGAACCTTGATTGCCCATATCTGAAAAGAGAGAAAATATCAATTAGCACTAACCGCTAGCCGATCGTTTTAGTTAGAATTCTTTGATCAATGATTGTACAATCCGATGGCATTCAAACTATCACACAGGGATATACGTGCTACAAAAATTTTGTCATTGAAACAAAAGCGGATCGTGCAAAAAACGATAATAGATGACACCTGAATCATTTCCTCAGCATGATCGATCAAGTGAATTGCACTGCTCAAAGTGGGATCCTTCCTGATTTAGAGATGACAAAAAACATCATCTATGAAGGTTAACCGATACTAAACTTTACTATTTTTCAAGATCAAACAGAGAAAAATAGGTTATTTTACGTTTCTGAAGGATCGCAGACCGTTGGGAAATCTGGAGAACACAATGTAAACTTTCTCAATCTTGTTTAAAATTGTGAGCGTCGCGTATCATTGGAGATTACAACAGTGCGAGCTTAGTGTTTCCAGGTTAAGTCCAACTGGTTACCATTATTGTTAGACATGAAAATAAGCTGTCGAACTCCTTCAGTTTTCTACCACTCATGTAAATTACGCGAATTCTCCGTGATTTGGCATGGTTCGATCTGTCGTTTAAGAAAATACGTGCATCAAGAGCTTGATTTTTGTGTAAGTGACGGAAGTCAACATTCAATGTCATGTTGGTGTGAAACACAACTTTGACTCATGCACAGGTGACACAGGGATACCTTGAGTCCAGAGTGAAGATTTTAACAGCGTGATGGATATGAATTACAAGTAACTCTCAATAAATATGAATCGCCTGCGTGAAGATTTATATATTTTTCAGTTAAATACCTGGTCCCCTGACAACAAATGATAAATAGTTTTTTAATCAATTAATCCTTTTGTAGTAAAATGATACCCGATCGCATCGGACTTACTGTTCTGGTACGGGAACTGTCAATAAGGGACAAGACAACTGGCCTACTGGCGAATCGCATGAAAATATGATAGGATGAGGAAATTTCAGAATACTCCGAACAAAAAATAATACTTTAGGCCACATCGGTTTCAACTTCAACCTGCCATTTGTTTTTAGGGTAATATGTGCAAGGATAAAATAGGCAGAGATAATATTTAAAAATGTTGATTGATTTACCAGAAATCAGCTTGCGTTTTCAACCTATTCAACCTATTCGATTGATAGCTAAATCGAATCACGCTATGTTATGTTTCTAAAATGAAACTCTGAAATTTAGCCCAAGTGATAACTGATATTTCATATGGGGAATTCGTCGTGTTTAGAGCAAATGGTGCGTGAACCGAAGAGCTACGAAGCAATTTACAGCTGTTTCGATTTGGTTGGGTTTCATCAGAAGTGCCAATCCGTCAACCCCACTGGAGCTTGAACCCGGGACCTCATAGGTAGAACGCAAGCACGCTACCCACTCGGTCACCGGGAAGCTGATCGGACCGTTTTACTTCTCCATTTAAAAATTATAGCACACACTGTGTTTGGAATAACTTAGTATACTGCCTTATTTTGTAGAAAGCACTGGGTTTGACCTTTTCGTTTTAACTAAAATTTTGGTGTCTGACTTTTACACCTCATATCTCTTAGACTATGTCATCAATCATCACTTACCGGACTGTGCCGTATGCGAACCAGGAGGTAGATTCTGTTCGGCTGTCACAAAATAGACAGCCACTGGGGAACTTTCTCGTTGATACCCAGTCTCACTTGTGATCAAAGTTTGCACTCGGACAATATAAAACGTTCCCGGTTGCAGATCACGTAATTCAATCCACGTTTGATTCTGGTCGTGGGAAAGGAAATGGTTCCAGGAAAGTAATATTTTAGAGTGTGCAAGGCAAATTCGGTGGCCGTATGTGATTGCTATTGATCATCAGCACATCTACTGTGTAGCAAAATGGCAGCCCAGATAACTTTCAGATTATACTAAGAAAAAACAAAGTGTATATGTTTCCAATCATTGTATATCATGAAAATGCAAACACGTGTGATGATTACACAATAAAAATTGTCCGTTTGTAAAACTTTTCAATAAGACAAGTAGTTTAGATAATAAAAGGAATGACACCGCATTTTAAAATGCCTATTCTCGTAGAACGAAATTACATTAACTAATAAATGATAATCACTTGAAAAAAAAACAACTTTTCTCATCAGTGTTTCACTTAGCGCCTTTGGCCAGCATGAAAAGTGTTTTGTTTATTGGATAAAACAACTTCAAAAGATGCATAATTGTGGATAAAGACAAAACTGATCAACTTGGAGCGTCACTATCGAAAAACACTATCGAGACAAAAATCACTTCTCACTCACGAGCATTTATCTGGTTTAGTGATTCAAGGAATTGTCTGAATCGGTAATTTTAAAGCCTGATAACGGAACTGGGGTCATTCTGATGGCTCTTGCAGATTGCCAAAGAAAGATGGAATGCATCCGCAATTGTCAGAGCCTGATTTTACGAGGAAAACATGATGACCCCAAAGAGCTGGAACGGAAAATTGCCTCTGAAATTCAGTTTCTATTAAAGGGACATCTCATCGATCGGACGCCGCACGGGGGCTGAAGACGATCGGAATTCACATTCAAAAACTTTGTGGCCTGCCGAAACTCCACAGACGTGTCACTCAGGCAAATCCTATCCATGACGAACTCACCACAGCACGAAATGGCGAAATGGCTAGTCAAGGTGTTAGAATCAGTCCAGATCATGCACTGAGGAACTGTTTTGAATTGGTGGATATTTTTTACAAAATGAACATATTAGGAAAACACAGTTTCGTTCGATTTCTAGTCCCTATTTAGTAAAACACCATTTCGCGAATTCAAAAATTCATTTGCAATCATAACAAGAGCGAAAATATTTCAATGAGTCTACCGATACCCTTCCTTGAATGTCTAATACTGCTTTGCTTAACCAATGTCTTTTTCTTTTCAAGGATATACGTACAGGCACGTCGATGATGCTGTTGTAGGCAGCCCACTAGACCCAGACCCAGCAAACTTGTGTACGGCAGATCTCGAAAAAAGGGCAAATAACATTCCGGAGCGTACCCTTCTATATCGTTGAAGAGACCCTGGTTTAAGCAGAAAGCTTAGAAGAAACGACAATAATTCTAGATAAACTTAATATACTACATCCATATTTTCTGGTTCACAACGGAATCCGAAGGCAACAATACACTTAACTACCTTGACATCAACGTGACCAGAAAGGAGAATGGAACAACTTTCTGACGGACAGGAGACCTAGATGAACCAATATTTACACTTTGAGAGCTTTATACCCATGGAGTATAAACGTGGTCTTTTTTATACCTTATTTAATAAAAACAAAACAAACTTGGGCAAGAACTACAAAGCTTCGGCAGATGCTAGCAAAAAAACGCTTACTCCGAAACGCTTCTTGATAATTACAGCAAACATAGACCTAAAAATAGACTGTTGTGTCAGCTCTAAAATTGCGGGTTAAGTTGTGCCTTCTATTCAAAGGTAATGACGTAAGTTATCCGCTCAAAATAACGACTGGCATTCTCTCGAATCTACTATGCAGCTGACCTCCAAATCGTCTATCGAATAACTAAAATACCCACACACCCCGCACAAGAAGTCTGCCTCTGTACGACAACTCATATCTGATTTAGCAAATCCAGCTTGGGTGTGGATCGCTTTACGTGAACAGAACAGAGCAACAATTGCGTAACCGGGTGGTTGAACATATTCCAAATTGTATCCAAACTCAGATGACGTAATGGAAGTCTAGTTCGCTGCATAGAAAGACCCGGTAATCAGACAGCTAGACATCTGAAGACGAAACACAAGTTCGACCAAAGCACGGCGTCTTGAACTCTCTAGTCACGAGTCGCCAGATTGATGAGGTTTGCAGAAGCGATTGCAATCAACCGATGGAGGCCCGACGCCCGTTTCCCGTTTCAACGAAAAGAACTTTGTTAGTTTATCCTTACTCTGATGACATGGTCCTTTTACCCCTTCCCCCTTTTATATTTGTCTGTTTTATTGTATTTCACTCTACTTCGTTGCCATGTTAAAACCCTGTAGTACGCGCCATGTTGAGATGCAGCGAAACCGTCCTGGACATGAATTGTGCTGTATAGCGATGTGGTTTTTTCTTTTGGAAGGTGCATATCACAATGAAACTTTCAAAAGCCTAAGCAAAAAATCTCATTTTCATAACCGGGCGATAGTTAACAGTCCCATATGTGAGAAGGTAACATGTAAGTTGCAACTACCCCAAAGCATTTCCGTACTACCCACCAGGATGGCAAAATGGCAGCCCTTTGATTGGCCGCTTCCCGCTTCATGAAAATTGTATCATTGTGTATTCAATAAAAAGGAAGTAAAAAAGTTCGTTAGTAGTTCCATAACTGAAGATGGACATCTTCTGTCATGAAAAACAGAGATCAGTATAGAAGGAACCCCTGAAAAGTTTTCCCAGCTATGATACCCACCTAACTCCAAGGAAATCATCTCATTGCATTTACTTGTTCTCACTGTGATCAGAAAAACGGCATTGCTCTCAAATAGCGATTCTGTGGTTTCCAGTAATGTTATCCAGACTACAATCAAATTAGTCATTTATTAGCAGCCGTACTCATAAAATATTGTTTTTTCCTCGAATTCCTCTAGAAACCATAAGGCTCATAAACAAAAGCCACGCAAGTTTGCTCCAACAGTTCCAGAAATACTTGTTTATACTCATGTCACCCGTGTGATCGACTCACTTCTTCCACTATCCGAACGTCTGACTGTTGTGTGTCCATAATCGGACTGAAACCAACATCATCGTTATACATGTCCTTGTTGACCGGTTCATCTATTCGAGGAGCCCATACCACACGATATTTGGTGCCCATGACCAGGGGACCGAGTAGAGCAGATCGCGTATGCTGACGACTCACAAGCATCGTCGTTTTGGTTTGTGTTTCACTCGGTCTCGGAGGATCCCATTTAATCCGATAGTCCAACGATCCAGTTTGGGCGGCAGTCAATTTGGCCGGAGGTGGTGGCGGTCCTGGATCTAATTTGGGTGAAAAAGAATGAAAAGGAACACAAAGGTGCGGTTCGTTGGATGATCTGTCACTTGTTGCGATTCCTATACGTAGAATCAATGAACGGAGGAACTCAGGAATGAGGTGCATCGAGGATCAGCTCCGATTAACATCTGTCACGCCAGTTTCCGGGATAATGTTGTGTGTATGAATGTATGAATAATTTTAGTCATTTCATCATCCTTGGTATATCTACAATCACTACTAACTGGAGTGAACACATCACGTGATATGGAGAACGGTATCGTCAGAAGACTATCTGATTGGTTCGAAGGAAATTTTCTCCAGAAAATGCTCGGCCAACTGAAATTCACTCCACTAGCTTGTATAGATTTATTTCTACTGTTAGTTAGCAGCTATTTTCTTCAACTCGTTTTCTTACAGGCTTTCTATCAGGCAAACAGGAACAAGCTCACAACCTCACTTCCTAAGAGAAAGTGAAACAGAGATAGTAGTAGAACGTAAATAATGCCCCCAGTATCGACTTAAACCGATTATTCACGTACACAAGTAAGCAGCGACCACAGCCAGTGTGGCTCAAAAGAAGAGTGACCTTCATTGCGGATCACTCCACATAGTGAACGGAAAACAAGGGAGAATTTTTTCATTACAGTATACAGCATTTTAACGTGTTTCCTTATGGGACAAAAAGATGTACCATAAGCAACAGCCAGTAAAGAAAATTTGGTACCGAAAGTAAAACGTAGATATATGCAGTCAATAACTGGGCAATACCAATCTACAAGCAGAAAACTCGTTTTGTGCTGCCTGCCGTTCATGAGATAGATGTATATAGTCATTTTGCATTTGCATATTGGTAATCGAATTCGCATATGTAATTGATCTATTTTTCTACACATAAAATACAGTCCCTTTATCATTTCTACTCCTCCTCGAGATTAGCTATTCTCGAAATCGCTCCTAGAGATGCATACAAAGATATTTTTCTTTCAAAATGCTTGCGAGTGAGTTTAACTTGAATGTTACTGTTTAATACTATGGAATTCCTAAACATCAGGGTTGTTGTATTGATATCGTAAGTTTCATTCGATGTTTCCTCAACCAACATTTAGACAAAAAATAAGGATGTATAAAGCATTTTTACCTTATTTTCTTTTTGAAGCATATTTCACTAAATATTGATAATAAAAATTATTATTGTTATGAATAATTACCAGTATTACAGGCAGTTGAAAATTGTTTTCAAATGTAAATCATATAAGACGGAACAGCTATTTGCAAATTGAGTCGAAAGAGATTGAGGCAATTACCTGCTGGGGCACAATTAGCCGGAGCCGGACCTTGGCCCACCTCCACTTCCAGACAGGATGGAGTACAAAAGCAGCTACGTCTGACGGGGAAGACTTCCGGATCATTCAGCTCAGGATTCCCATTTGATGAAGCTGAACTTTGAACTCCGTCCGGATTCAACCAATTGGGGTCACTAGTTGAACGTTGCCTGGTAGATGCTATGATTTTCACCACGTATCGACAATTGAAACTTAGATTTCCTAATGTGACCACTCGGGTCTGTGGAAACAAAGAAACATTTCAAAATAAGTTGAAAAGTAGTTTGGGGTTATAACTATGGACAAACGTTGTGAACAAACAATCTCCAGAATTCAAAGATCTGTCGCGAATATGGACAACGTTCATCTTGGTAGCACAACCACTTTTTATATTCGACGCCACATAGTCCAAATCAAACGTCATCCGGTTATCAATAACCTACTCAAATGTTTTTGCGTCTGGGAAAAATCTGGTTGCCATAGTGCAATAATACTTGACTGATAAAAGCCAGTTTGTTCCTTTATTGATGTTTGTCGTAATTCTCATTGGAACGACTATTTTTCTGCTTACCTTTTGTTAAAGAGATCGATATTAACACTATTAAGGAGAAACGCAAGATCAACTACTCTTCTCTCGCATACATTGGGAAGTACGCTGAGCTGAAACTCAAGTAATACTCCCGACGAAAGTGAACATATGGAAACTAAGCCAACCTTTTCCCCATATATTTTTGTCGAGGAATAACCCTGATGTTTACCATAGCAGTGTATGTGAGCAACAGATGTTCCAGCCTTCGAAAAAATTCATCCAGTATTAATTTACTTTCATTTTATTTGAACAGATTCCACGTGATGAAATTGCTTCTGGACACGACCTGAATGCTCACGTGCTCCCAAGAAATGAGTGAGTTTCATGATTTTTAAAAGCACAAAATGCACTGGTACTCGAGAGTTCAGCTATCAAAGACCAGATATAGTGCCAATCAATGGAAGCAGTGGCTCGTCACTAGTCATTTTTTGGGGAGCACTGCGGTAGATCACTCCTGCTAACTACAGATATCCTTAGCAAATAGGAAAACACGAAGATCAGACCCTATCTGTCTAATCAAGTAAATGGATCTATAGGACCAGCTAGAAAACTGAATTGATCAATGCTAAAGCGAATCTAAATTAAAAACCGTCAATAACGGAGCTCTCAGAAAGTTACGTTAGCTATTTGCATTTACGAAAAACTGCCGTAGATTCAAACTGTTGAGTTGAAGAATAAAGCGATCGTTCTGAAGAGAAAATCGCTTCAACATTGCAAGCTTCAGCAGAATATTTGGTACCCTCAGCTCTGTTTCAAATACCCAAACAGGATTACGCATTCGCTTAATGGAAAAAAACGTCGCGCTATATTAACTAACAAAGATTTGAACATTTGTCATAATCCACTGCGTTTTTGTTTTCATCTGCCTTTCAATTGTTTCGTAAAACCAGTTGTGAGACAACAATAACTACTGAATCACGTAAGTACAAAACTGAGGAGCTGTCGCCAGTTATCTTCCGTATATGTTTTCCTGTCTCTACTCACTTCTTTTTTCATTCAAATTTTACCACTGGATTAAGTTAGTTTAATTTGAATTTGTTTGATTATCAATTAAAGTCCCATTTGAAAAACAATTAACTTAATGAGTATCAAAGACTAAAACCGCATTGACCATTAGTGTATTTCAAATGGCTGAGGGCGGGGGAATGACCAGAGCCGTGATAAAAATCAATGATAAGAATTGTTCACCGGATTTATTGACTTTGATTCCTTATGACTCACTCTGGCGGGGACAGTTAAGCGTTGCTTCAGTGTGAGTATATCACTTTCTTTGGAATTGATGCATACTTGTGGAGACCATTCGAATACATAGTCCAGTCCTTTCGTAGCTATATTCCAGAACAAAGCATAGATGTGATTGGATGGAGAGAGAGAGTGAGTCGGGTGAGTGTATCGGGTTGTGAATGACAATCGATGAATCAAGATACAAGTGTCGGGAATAATACGGTAGGTCACAATTATCATAAGTCTGCGAAAAAAGTGTCTCTTTCATGACACACGTGTTCCTGGCCTCCTTCCTCGGAGGGGGAACTGATTATCAAATCGATAAACACATGTATCAGCGGTGAGAAATAGAGTATGTACTCTAACCAAAGAGCGTAATTAATAATAATAATCATTATATTAATAACGAGTATTATTGACGTACGAGGTGTGAATAACATCTGTGACTTGAGCATTCCATGATCAAAAAATGTTTTTTCTAGTCTCACAATTCTCTCTACCGGATCTTCGGGGCCACAGTCACAGGAAGATTTCTGTTCACTTGGAAACGTTCGCATTGGTACTGAAATCCGAAAGAAACAATTTATTCGGGACAACGAATGATTAAATCTAATAAAATTGTATACTTATATTGCATCGAACTCGAATGTATGTATTATGGTCTGAGTAACAATTTACAAAGCAGAATGCTCGTGGTTATAATTTGACTCTGTTCTTACCTGGGTGAACAAGTGATTAATGAGGTTGACTCGGAATATTTTTTCACAATGCTGAAATTTTGTCACTTTGGACCATGCATATTTACAGACACGGTAAACCAATCCAATATACATCGTGCAACTCCCCTCTATTGGAGAAATCTTATTTCGTTTTACATCAACGGGACCTTCGATACTCTTCAAAACACTGCCACACCACTATTTTACTGTAAATAGGCGTACATATTCAGCAATTCTGGCTATCTGGTTATGCGATCTGTTATGTATTTTTCTCATTCATTCCTTTTGGGATTTTGTCCGTTTACCTTTCACGCGACCTCACTTTCAACTTGTTGTCTCCAAGGTACCACCCACCTGTCGAAGCAAAATCTATTGTGGTCGAACATGTTATGTGTTAACTGTCGTGAGTATTGTGCATATAACCCGGCACTAGAAGAGTTACTGAAACAATCTATTCTTACCGGTTTTGCAGTGTGAATGAATCTCTAATAACTGCAGACTAACCTCGGAATTTGTCCTCCATGGTGGACTGATGTGAATAAATGGGATGAATTGATTGTGTCGATAGGAAGATAGTGTTCGGTTGTGAAAGAAGACGACCATGACCGTGCCAGTAAGACACTGCAGTAACCTAAATCAATGAAATAAATAAAAGTATTGGCAGACCATTTGTGAGTGCCGCACTCGTACGCGTAAAGGAAGCAGACAATCAACAATTAAAATTGTTGCTTTCATTTCGATAAACATATAAACACGCAATGAGAATAAAGTTACCTGAAAAGTATAAATATAAATGTATGCTCAGAACTCAGTAAGTCACTCAATCAAAAATTTAAATATATATATATGTATATCTGAAGGTATACAGACGGCATCAATCCCTTTGACTTCGCAAAACCGAATTATCCAACAAGGTCAGTCAACCTAATGACCACTTGTGTGACAAAGATACTCCCTGATGCACTTACCAAGTTTGTGCAAAGCTTGAAATACCTCGCTCTATGTTCCTCTGACAATTTTAACTAGCTATAGAGAGAAACGTTCAGGAGCCAGGTATCAACCTCATACAAAAAAACGTCAAACAACGGGCAAGGCTTGAGCCACAGATACTTCATACCCTTTCTAAATGGCCAGTTCATTTTGTATCCAATCACTTTATTCCTCCCCAATAACAAATTTACCCCATCAGTGGGTAAGACGTGATTTTTCTATATGCCTAATGATGTAGCCTGGTTAAGTAATGCCTGCTCACTACTTAGTAATGAATAATGATGACTATTTGTTATAAAATCGGAACATTGTATTAAATGTCTTTTACCTGTACTTTGTACGATGTTGCTGGTTTCAAGTTTTGTATGACATATTGCAAGCGATCCTGCAAATAAAAGATTTGGAGATGAAATAAAAACCAAAATGGAGCGGATAACTTAAAAAAATATATGAAAATGGGAAATTCAGTACTGTTTAGCCGAAAATAAGGGTTTAAACTTTGCAGAGATTTATCATGGTTTGATAGACATGATGAAAATAAATTACTTCTTATGTTCGAGTGAAACAGAATGCGCTGTATGGTGTAGGTAATGCGTGTTTGTCGCGTGCTTCCCAGTATTAAACAAACATGCCTCTTAATCACTAATTGAAATTGAGTCGATGTGGTCAATGGAAATGAGTAGTTTGGCACCTCCTCTGCGGAACTCTGTAGTCACAGATTTTCAGTTGAACGTCAATTTTTAACCACATGCACATTGGAAAAGCAACACTCACATCAGTGTTCGGATAGACTAGATGATATATTAATGAAACATATTCAAAATTACAACAAACATCTTTAGCAGTATTCAAACTGAGGATGTGAAGATTCTCCTCAAAATGGCTAAAGAAGCCCGATAAATATATGTAGAAATTCGTATAAGTGCAGCGTCCTTCCTTAAGTTAATTATTGAACATATGAAACTGATTGGAGTCTCATTTGTCGATTGCTAGTTGAAACAGACAGTGTGAACGACAAAAAAATTTCCCGCGAAAATCGCCATTGGATACCGCGTTTGACCGAAAAAATGTGGCATCCATGGGTGGATCACAAGGAAACAAACCGATGTTCAAAGCTTTATCCTCAATACCGCATATTCAATAAGTAAGCATCATACAATCAATTCCATTCAGATTAAATATCTCAGACGAGTAAAATGTTCACCTTAAACAGAAACACTATCTTTCATAAATATACGCTAAAATCTCGATGAACTATGCATTAGATAGGAGTTCCTCTGACACACTTCGCTGTATATTTCATTATTCATCCTTCTTGTTCCATGATAAAGACGCATTTGATCTCGGGCTTCATAGGATTTCTTGAATTTTTGTTGAAATTTTTATGGAGTGCCGATAAAATCTGCTCTTCGAAATGTTTGAACCGATCGCTCTAATTTGGACTGTGTTCAAAAGTGCATTCCCGCCAGATCGGTTCTTTCTAGAAGTGCGAAGAATGGAGATCTCCAACGGCTATCTGGTTATCATCTCACTCTATTCAGTCGTTCAACTTCCACGTACCAAGTTGGTGGACTGCCAAGCGCGCATGAAAAATTGCTGCACGGTAAACATTCATCAGGCTCTTCAAAAGATGGACAGATGTCCCCGGTGTTCACCAAACCGTTTCCTCTCTCTATATATATACAAACGCACGGACTCCCCCTTCCTGCGTCCCGCTCCCGCTCTAGCACACACTCTTCCTTTGACTTCATCCCACGCAGTTGCTTGATCATCCTTGTGCGGTGTTTACCGATGGATATATATATGCATTTCACTCACTCATCACCGAAAACCCTTACCACCACACCATGAGAACGAGCAGAACAAATCTAGGCCCACACACTAAGAATGACCAAGTTAGGTTGTGGATTAGACTAGCCGGTTGGTCTTTCCCCGGGACTTCTGCTCTCCGATTACTTTCTCACTCACTGCCTGTATGCGTGTACCCATCCACTTGTGTACTTGTGTGTGTTTTTGTGTACGGGAGTCCGATCGATGTGGACTTGTCCTCTTTTACATGAGAACTCATTAATGGACGGACAGACCGACCGACCGGCTGGTTAGAACAAGTAACTGCAGATTGACAGCTCATCCACGCAGTGTTTCCATCCATCAGTCAATCCGCGCATTCATTCATCACGGCTGTCCGCACTCAGAGACAGGGACAGAGAGAGAAAGTGCTTCTGACTTTCACCATGATGAATACCACGAGATCCAGTGGAATGCTTCATCATCCGTTCGACACAGAATCTTTCAATGGCCAGTATATCGACAGGTTGAAAAGGAACACTTACCGGAGCAAGAGTGTGACTGAATTGTGTTAATCCTTCCAAAGCCTGCCCACCGGATTGTATATATCCGTGATCAATCACCCAGTATACCTATGAAGAAACGGACAAATGTATCGGTTGCGAAAGAAACTCATTCACAGAACAAGACATCGCAGACAACTCCGCATCAACAACTACTACTATGACCGAAAATGAGATATTCTCACTTACCACATACTCCATAATGGGCAAGTCCGTTCGAATCGGAGGTTGCCAGCTAAGCAGTACACTGATACTGCCGCTGGAATAGAAACGCCACATAGAATCGGTCACGTTTGTTGGGGGACCAGGTGGAGCCGGTGGTTCCGGTTGGCTCGGATACGGCTCGGNCGGCTCGGATTCCGGACCAAACCCTCGTGTACCATGAGGACTGACGGCGGCTATTCGGAACTGGTACATTTTCCCCGGTTCAAATGCATCCAGTTTTGCACCGAATTGATGTGTCTACCAGAAACAAAAGTGAAGCGTGAGAAGGCATGCGTTGTGTGTGTGTGATTGCGAATGCCGTTGACCCGAATAGGAAAATAAACTCTGACCAAATGTATTCCCTGAAAGCAACATTTGGAGCGCTTAAATTTGTTCATTGAGTAGGTGAACTTTACTGTTTACGCAAATGATAAAAAAATATTTACATGAAATTTTGATCCAGTCATTTTATCCTCTACCAGTAGACTGGCACCAAAACTCCACACCTATCTCATGCAGTCATCACGAAAGGGATTACAGCTGGAGTAAAAATCCAGAATCACATCGGTACTTCACATGTTAGAATTACTGGTATTTCTTTTTTTTGTGAATTCTTGGACAAAGTGCTTACGTCATGGATCGCTTCTAACTGCACCGATTGTGATGCTGGTAAGCAAGTATACAAAGGGATAGTCTAAAAGCATCTAACAAATGGTAGAAAAATAAAGGGAATAATACAACAAATGAGGAATTGAGAAAAACTTGGGCTGGTTTACTAGTTACTATTTTTAATATCCCTGCTATTGCTACAACCACTACTGTATCTACTACGATATTTGTATCAGATAGGAAGTGAATTACAGTATGATAAGTAAACAGTATGATCAATGGATATAATATGGGAGCATTGGAACAGTCAGAACTAAAACTAGTAAAAGATTATTCTATCGCTTAACGGTTCAGCAAAAAATAAATAAAGGAGAATACGATATCTGCGACAACAAGTTGACGTGGATGGCTATTTGGCTATGTACGGGATGAACAGGTAAACGCTGCGGAAAGAGAAATAGCCGGCAACGCCTCAGAAGAACCAAAACCAAAAATGGTAACCGGAGAGAAGGGACAGTAAGGACGATGAGCGAGTGATTGCATATTGTAGAATAGCAT